CTTTAATTCCATTGCCCACACACACACACACACACACACACACACACACACCCCGTTTCCAGCGGCAGCATCCCAGAGCACTGACGGCTGAGAAAGTCAGAATGGCTGAAGCTCAGGGCAGCCCCAAGAAGTCAGGGAGACCCAGGCCAAAATGGGCAGAGTTGGTCAGCCCCAGGGCAGCTCCTTGGGGGTGGTAGAAAGCTGAGTCCAGCCCCCGTGACCAGACTGTCCCACTGGGTGCGTTTTCTGCCTCAGACCCCCTGCCCACCTTTACTCACAGATCCCCACGGGGAGGCCCTTTTCCTCTCCTCCCATCCCCCAGGGGACTGAAACCTTGTGCAGACCTAATTCCTACTCAGCTCTGCCCCAACTCCCCCATGATTTCTCTTCCCTGTACCTCAGTTTCCCATCAATGTCTGGAATGGTGTGCACAGGGGTCTCCTGAACCCTGGCCTGCCTCCTGGTGACTGCGTAGAAACCCTCGGGATACGATATGGAATCACCCGCCCAGAGCCCGGGGGAGACAAAGGCAGGAGGCTGGTCGGCTAACCCGATCCGCTTGGCCCACCCCCTCGGGCTGCAGTCTCCTGGTTCCCAGGGCTGGGGGAGCAGCCAGCCCAGATGAAGCTTTGTTCCGCTTGAGGAATGAGCAGGGTCACGTCCTGATGGCTGAGCCTGAGGCAGACGGGCTGGTCTGGATGCCTGGAACGCCTGCCCAGCTGGGGCCCGTCCATGACGGCTCAAGGGGGCCAGGGTCCTGGGCAAAGGCGCCCAGCCGTCCCCACAGTGGCCTGAAGCATTCTTCACCACCGCAAACTGCCAGGAATGCAGCCACCGCCTTCTGAGAAATCTGCTAAATTGGGACCAGCTGTTCCCAATGGTCGAAAAGTCAGTCACCCGGCCCAGAATCAAGTGGCTAGAGCTGCTCAGAGGGACACAAGGGACAACCGCCTGCCTCAGGCCAATCAGCTGGGGGTAAACTGAGGCACGTGGGCCAGACAGAGGTCTCTGGGTCTCCCCTGTCTTAAGTAGCTGGAAAAGTGGGCAGGGCCTGGGCTCCAAGCCATAGGAAGAGGGACAAGTGACCGTGGCAAGCTGGTCGGTGGCCAACTCACACTCCAAACTTACAAACAGAGGCCTGACTTCAGGGAGCCTCGGACCTTACCGGCCCATGCAGGTATCAACCTGCCCCTGTCTCACTCCATCTCCAAAGCTTCTGGTTCTCACACACTTCCTGGGGTAAACGCCAGGTCCAGGAGGACCAGTGGCCGTCAGGCGCTGGATGCAACAGGTCCGGTTCCAGTCCCGACTCTGCCGTTTGCAAGCTGTGGGGTCCTGGGCAGCCCTGAGCCCTGTGTGCAAACTGGGGCCTTTAAACTGCCTTGGCCGTGTGGGATAGCACGCACAGGCAGTCCGTCAACGTTCCATGCTCACTCTGTGGGATTATTGCTGGAGGGGGGATTCTTGGTGGGGGAGGGACAGAGCCTGCTGAGTGACCATTCTCTATCTCATGGCTTCCTAAGCTTCAGCTTCCCCTTTTGTCAAAGGGATGGAGGGAGGCTCCAAGGAGCCCGCTGGAGGCAATGGAGAATTCTCCCTCCTGTCACAGGTCCTAGGGTGCCAACTGCAGGCCCCCGTCCGGGGCTGGCCGGACTGTGTCCTCAGCATGCCCAGGCAGGCTTCCTTCCCAGATGTCTGGTGGGAGGATGTATGTATGTGTGTGTGTGGGGGGGTGGGGGGTGAGCGCCCCTCAGCTGGAAAGGCCCTTGCTTATCAGGCCTGAGACCTCCCCATGGATCTGGAATCACCCCCTGTGCTCCCCCTTCCCGAGATGGGCCCGGCTGTGTGACCCTCCAAAAGTGTCTGCCCCTCTCTGAGCCAGAACCACACGAGTTTTCTTAAAAAGTGTCTCCCACTGGCCCCGCCCCGTGTTTTTAGGTTACGAAACACACATGTTAGGGGACCCGGGCGCCCTGTGGACCCCTCTGCTGTTCCTTTGTCAGACGGAGACAAAGAGAACATACAAGGGAACAGCCCAAGCAGGCCTCCTCCTCCTCCAGCAACTTCCCCTTGTTGCCTCCTCCCAGGTGTGAGAGGTTGGGAAATTCCTGGGGGGGTGGCCACACCCTAATTAAAAAGACACCTGGCCCACCCGCTTCCCCTTCTACAGCTTAAGTGGCCCCCAAACAGACGTGTGGCCGGGGAGGAGGGGCAGCCGGGGTCCTCTCGGAGCCTCCGTTTTCCTTCGGCTGAAGCGCTGGAAGGGCCCAGGGCTGGGGAGGGGTCAGACCCAACCGCTCCCCGACGCTGGGCAGTGCCAGGTCGCAGACCTCTCTGCACCCCCAGAGCTGAGGGAGTCTCGGTGGGCGCCCCCAGAACCGGGATGTTGGGGACGAGGAGGGCCACTTTCATCCCAGGTCTCAGAGCCACTGCGCCCAGATGTCGGGGAGCCTAGACGGCGCAGGATCCCCAGGGGCGCCCCTCACTCACCCGGTTCTTGACCTCGGCCGAGAGCCCGTACGAGGGCCCCTTGTTGAACTGCGTGGAGCTCATGCCGGCGGCG